AGCTTGAGGCGGTAGATGCTCTGCTCAGGCCAGGCGTGAGTAACCTCGTACGGGCCCTCAAAGCGATCGAACAACTTAGCCGATTTGTGCGCCTTCTTCCCATTGGCGTCTGTTGCGAACTTGTACTTGGCGCGGCGGTCCTTGGTGTCGACCCAGACGCGGTCGCCAACGTCGAACTTGTCCTCGTCGCGCGCCTGCGCGTTGACCTGTGCCGCGCTGCGCACCTTGGCAGCCGCGAGCTCGTCGCGCACTGCGCGCAGCGTGGACTCCCGCGCGTCGAGGAGCGAGTCGACATCCGGGACGTCCTCGACGCCGGGGAAGCGCGGCGAGCCTCGCGGCATGAAGCCGAGAACCGCTTCGAACGGCGCCGTTCCCGTCGCCTCGTTGACCGCCGAGTTGATGGCGTACTCGGTGAGGCCGAGCTTGTCGCGCCAGCCGCTCTGGCTCGCGTCGACCCACCCGCGGAGGACCTGCAGCGCCGTCTTGTTCGTGCGCTCGCTGCGGCCGTCGGTCTGCGGGTGGAAGGACGTCGAGAGCTGCAGCTTCGTGCCAAGCCTGGCGTGCAGCTCGCGCCAGAAGCGCGTCGTGAAGGAACGGTCACGGTCCGAGACCATGCGCTCCGCGAGGCCGAAGGGGCGCGTCCAATCCTCGAAGACAAGACGAGCCACCTCCTTGGGCCCGTCTGTCTGGCGGCACGGGATAAGGCGCGTGTAGCCCGTGAGCCTGTCCGTGATGGTGAGGAGCATGTCGCACCCACCCTCCTTGGGGAGCGGGCCGACAAAGTCGAGGGCAATGTCGCTGCCGAATCTCGGCGGGACCGCGAGCGCGTGCCGCAGCCCCTGTCCGCGCCGCGACGCCTTGACGCGCTGGCACGTGTCGCACGAGCGGACGTAGTCGTTGACGTCCTTGCGCATGCCCGGCCAGTAGACGTCGCGCGCGAGCGCCGCGTGCATCTTGAACTTGCCGAAGTGCCCGCGCACGTTGTGCGCCTCCTGCAAGAGCTGGGTGCGAAGCGAGGGATCAGCAGGGATCACGAGTCGGTCCTCAAAGTAGAGGAGGTGACTCCCCGCGTCCTCGCGCCCCCCGGGCACCGAGTCGACGTTCTCCCGCGCCTTGAGGTAGAACGGATCACGGTCGCACGCCTCGCGGAGCTTGCCCTTGAGAACCTTGTCCGCCACCGTCTCCGAGACGACGGCGAGTTGCTCCTGGAGAGTCGCCTTGACGAACGAGAAGCAAGAGAGGGCGTCGGCGACGAGGTTCTGCTCGCCAGGCAGGTATTTGATCCGCATGTCGTACTCGGCGAATGTCTCGAGCCACCTCGCCTGGCGCTTCGAGAGGTCCTTCTGTGCGTGGAACGACTTGAGCGTGTCGTGGTCCGTGAGCACCGTGAACTCGACGCCGAGCAGTTCGACGCGCCACGCCTTGATGCAGTCAAGGATGGCCAGGAGCTCTTGCTCGTGCGTCGGATAGTGCCGCTCCGCGGCAATGAACTGACGCGAGTGCCACCCGACAGGGCGGGACGTCTTCCAGGCCTCGCCCTGGAGGAGGACACCGCCAAGCCCCACGTTGGACGCGTCCGTCATGAGCCAGATCGGCGGCGCCCCGTCGCTGTGGTCGATCGGCTTGAGCGTCGTGAGCTCCGTGACGACCTCCTTGATTGCCTCGAAGTGGAAGAGCGCCTCGTCGGTCCACTTGCCGTCGAGGGAGAGGGACGTGCCCTTCTTGGTGAGCGGAGTGAGGCGGGCAGTGTGCTCGGCGAGTACAGGTATGAACTTGCGCAAGTACTGTACGAGGCCGAGGAAGCCGCGGAGCTGCTTGATCGTGCGCGGCACTGGCCACGCGCGGATGCGGTCGACCTTCTTGGGGTCGACGGCGACGCCCTCGCTCGAGAGGACGTGGCCGAGGAATCCGCACAACTCGGTGACCAGGTCGGTCTTCTTGGTCGAGCAGTACAGCCCGGCCGCCCTGAGCACCTCGAGGACGGCGCGGACCCGGCGCTCGTGCGCCTCGAGGTCGTCCGATCAAACGACGAGGTCGTCGAGGTAGACGTAGCACGTCTCCCCGATGATCGAGCCAAGGGCCTCGTTGACGCGCCGCTGGTGCGTCGCAGGGGCGTTGCAGAGGCCCATTGGCATGACGACCCACTCGAACAGCCCCCAGGGCGTCGAGACCGCCGTCTTGGCAATGTCCTTGTCGGCCATCGGCGTCTGGAAGAACGCGTTGGTCATGTCGATCTTGCAGTAGTACTTGTGCGCGCCGGCGTGCGTGAGGATGTCGTCGCAGAGGGGCAAAGGCGTGCGGTCCTTGACCGTGTTGGCGTTGAGCCGGCGGTAGTTGTTGACCCAGCGCGGGTCGGCCTGCGGGTCCGCCTTTGGAATGATGAAAGACGGGGAGGCGTACGGAGACAATGACGGGCGGAGGCGACCGGCCCGAAGGTGCTGGTCGAGGAGCCGCCTCCAAGCCTGGAGGTACTTGCGCGGGCAGGGGTACGCGCGCTGCCGCGGGATGCGATTCGCCGCGGGGTCGACGAGCTCGATGCGATGGCGGACGGTGGTGGTCGCCTGCGAGACCCCAACCTGCGGGAGATCGGCCGGAAACAGGTCCGCGAACTCCCAACGCAGCCTCTCGGCGAGGCCCTCTATTGCCTCCGCCTCCGCGGCGTGCGCTGCTTCGCACAGGACCTGCTCTTGGAGCTCCTCGATGCGGGCAAGAACGAGGCGGCGGAGCTCCTCCAGCGGGGGCGGCGGTCCGGGCGGCGCCGGCTGCGCCGCGAGCAAGTTGAGCGTGGACCCGTCCTCTTGCTCCTGCCGGAGCTGCGGGGGCGTCGTGGAGAAGATGGGGTCCAGACGGTGCTTGGCAAGCAGGTCCCTGCCCAGGATGATGTCCTGGGAGACAGTGAGCGGCGTGACGAACAGCAGGTTGCGCCCGAGCGAGACGTTCGAGTCGGCCGTCTCGAGAGGTACGACGACGTAGTGCGTGATAGCGACCTGGCTCTGTTGCGACTCCCCAACGCCAATAGCTACGGTCACCTCCCGCCGCACCCGCAGTTTCCGCCTCACCAGACCTAGCCGAGCGACCGTTGCATCTGCAATGAAGGACGATCGGGCACCAGTGTCAGGCAAGGCTTCTACTCGGGTTTGGCCAAGAGGACCGGTCGCTACGAGGCGAAGGGAAGGGAAGTCGGGAGAGGCGCACCACTTGGAGTCGCTGCTGCTGCTGTACCCGTAGAAGGCGGACTGCTGCGGGCTCGCCTCGGCCTCGGCGACGGCGAGCTCTTCTACCTCGGGCGGCTGGACCTTATCGTCGACGGCGGCGATGGCGTCCTTCTGGGGCTTGGGCTCCCACGACGGGGGAACGACGACCGGGGTCTTGGCCTTGGCGTTGGGGCAGTGCCGGGCCGAATGGTCCGCCGGGACGACCTGGCAGCGGAAGCAGCCGTGTTGGTCCATCAGGTAGGCCCGCTGCCGCTCAGTCATGCGCGGGCCACGGCCGGCTCGCGGGGCCGTGCTGGAGAAGCCCGCTCGCGGGGCGGGCGGCGTCGGCACTGGCGCCTGCGACGACAACGACGGCGGACGCGAGCTGCTCGGGGCCGCCGCGCGCGCGGCGGCGAGCTTGAGCGAGGCAAAGCGCACGTCGATCTGCGCGCGCGCGTGGACAAGCAAGCCCCACTCCTCGCGCGCGACCTGCTCGTAAGCGGCGAGGTTGAAGCGGGGGAGGAGCGCCGCGGCCGCGGCGGCGTTGGGGCTTGGCGGAGCGTCGGGCGTGGTCTCGTCGAAGAGGGTCGCGAAGGCGTCGCGCGCCTTCGACGCGGCGGCGCGACTCGCCTTGCTGGAAAAGAGCCGCGGGCGAGCGAGGGCGGTGATGCCGCGTGCGTCCATCTCCTCCTCGTGCAGTCCCGTGCCGCGGAGGACCTCCTTCTTGCACATGCGCAAGCGCA